CTTTCCAAGCAGAAGTTTTCAGTCCCTTAATCTTATTTGAAAATAAAAGAGGGCAAGGCTGGAAACGTGCCAGGAGCAAGCCTTGGTATTTCTGCAGTGCCACAGTGAAAAGTACCTTCTTCCACTGTCAGTTCCTTTTCTCAGAACCAGTCTTTTCCAGTCCCCAACCCTGCTCCATCCACATCCAAGACAGCACAGGTTAGAGGCTTGGTATGGCTTCCCTCGCACCTGTGGCTGTCCTTACACTTCTTAGGATTTAACTCCACGAACCAAATCTACACTGCAGCCATGGAAACATGCAAAAGGAGGTGTGTGTGTGTGTGTGTGTGGTCTTCAACCCCATCATTTGGTTACCAATGGCAACAATCTGCTCATAGCCAGTCTCGCTGCATCAAGAGCCTATCTTGGAAGTGGCGTGGGGTTGAGGGACAGACATTACAGCACATACTTTTTCTTTTTTCAGAGTAAAAGACAAGAGAGGGAGGAGAGGCCCAAGAAATCACTAGAGGAGACTGGGAGAGAGCACTTTTCCTGTCCTCTCGGTGGACTACAAATTGAATGAGGACCAACTCTGAAGGGACACCAAAGCCCCAACTCCAAAGAGTCATCATTCCCTAACAGAAGGGGACTCTAGCCTGCTGTGCCTCAGAAAGGGGCTAAGAGGGGGGAAGAAAGGGCCAGAAGGGGGGTCTAGATTCCTAATGAACCTCAGAAACAGACTAACAGTGGGGAAGAAAGGGGCAGAGTGGGGAGCACACAAAGGTTGGAGATTAACTTCTTTTTGTAGTTTTCTTCTATTAAAAACCATTTTTGAAAGTGGGTGGTGGTGGCGCACGCCTTTCCTTTAATTCCAGCACTCGGGAGGGAGAGGCAGGTGAATTCCTGTGAGTTTGAGGCCAACCTGGTCTACAAAAGTTCCAGGACAACTAGGACTGTTACACAGGGAAACCCTGTCTCAAAAAACAAACAAAGAACAACAACAACAAAACCAAACCATTTTTAAGGGCCTTTTCATTTACATCTGGGTGATTATCTGACTACAGGTTGACTTTGACCACTATGGGAAAGGGGAGAAGGCAGCTGGAGTCTTCCCACATTACCCCATCTCTGACCTGGGATCTGAAGAGAGACGTTTACTCAATACAAGTGATGAGTCAGGTCTTCAGATCTCAGTTCTATAAGGGTCCTTGACCCTAACAACCTGGAAACCCCAAAGTCTTGATGATAAACTACAGTTCCTGGAACTCTTGCTGTTTGGGTGGGGGAAGAACGGGTGTGAATCTTTCATCCCCTTTTCTTGAATTTAGGTAGATGGGAACATAGGTGTGGGAGCAGATGACACAGGAAATGGTGGCACACACCTTTTTCATCCCAGCACACAAGAGGTAGAGGCAAGTAGATCTTTGTAAATTGGAGCCCTGCCTAGACTACACATCGAGTTCCAGGATAACCAGGACTACATCATGAGACTGTTGTAAGATGTCGTTCTGTATGATGGGGATATGTGTTGCTCCCATTGGCTGATAAATAAATCTACTTTGGCCTATGGCAAGGCAGGATAAAGCTAGGAAGGAAAGCCAAACTGAATACAGGTCAAGAAGGAGGGCAGAGTTAGAAGACACCAGCTAGTTACCCAAGGAACAACAGACTGGTAACACCAGCTGTAACAGCACAGCTATGTGGCAATACTAGATGAATAGAAATGGGTTGATTTAAATATAAGAGGTAGCTAGTAATAAGCCTGAGCCACTGGCAAAACTTTTATAAGTAATATTAAGCCTCTGAGTGATTGTTTTGGAAGCAGCTGCAGGACCAGGTTGGACAGAAAAGCCTCGGTTTATTTTTAGACACTGTGTTTAAAAATACAGATTGTAAGGGCTAGGAGATGGCTCAGCAGTTAAGAGGGCTAGAGAGTCAGCTCAGCAGTTAAGGGGGGCTAGAGAGTCAGCTCAGTAGTTAAGGGGGGCTAGAGAGAAGGGCTCAGCAGTTAAGGGGGCTCACTGGTCTTGTCGAGACACCTGGTTATGGGTTCTCAGCACCCACATCAGGCTTCTCACAATCACCTGTAATTCCAGTTCCAGGGTATCCAGCACCATCTTCTGGACTCCATGGGCACTTGCACATGTTACACATAAAACTTAGCAAGCATATACACATATCTATAAATAAGGTAAAAATGTCTTTTAAAAATTGTAGACGAGCAGTGTAAATTCGGTGTAATGTCAATTGGTTCCTGGTTTAGGGCAGTTAAACTCCACTTTTCCAACTTTGTCACGGCACAATAATAACATCCATCCAAACCACGCTGAGAATGTTGGTTCCTGATCCTCCTGATTGAGGAGGTTTGGCGTACTCTCCTCTTACTCCGCAGTAGCTAAACCAGAGATTGTGCAAACCTAGAAACAAGATGGGAACCAGGAACACTCTGCAGTGTGTTGTGTTCCTAAGCTATGGCATCTGGCCACTTTTCTGGATTATTCCCAACTCGTGAGTTCATCTTTGTGTGTTGCAGAGTATTTGTGTACCCTGCAAAGATGTGTCTCTGTCTAAGGTGCCTTCTGCTTGGTTTAATAAAGAGCTAAATGGCCAATAACTAGGCAGGAGAGGATATGCAGGATTTCAGGGGGAAGAGAGGAAGAGGAGGAGAAATCTAGGCTCACAGATTTCACCAGGGACTCTGAAGAAATAGGTCATATGGTACAGAACCATGTGGCCGTATATAGATTAATAGAGGCAGGTTGAATTATAAAAGCTAGTTGGAAAAAAGTCTAAGTTAAGGCCACGCTTTCATAATTAATATCAAGTGTCCACATCATTATTACGGAGCTGGCAATCCCACAAAAGATAGCCTGACAAGAAAGCTTGCTACATTCATGTAACCACATTATCAGTAAGGAGCATTTGCACTTCGAAATCATCAAAACTAAAGTAATGAGTTTCTTCCCCCCCCCACCCCCCGTGCAACTCCCCTGATATTAAAAACTCACTTCCTAGCAAGGCAGTTCTGAGCCTTTCTGGGCCTCTTTTGTCACTGTAGAACACTTCTCAAGGCTGCTGTGGTGAAGACACCAGGTGTATTTTGCTCAGCTCTTGCTGCTGTTTCTCTCTCAGAAGCTCCCTTCACTATAGTAAATAAAAACAGCTGTGGTTTCATGAGAACGCTGTAGTATATAGTTTAGTGCCCTCCCTCTCTGTGTTAACATGTTAAATTCCTAGACATGGAATTGTTTCATCAAATAATTTCTATTTTTAAACTTTTTTTTAGACAACACACAGATTAATTTCCAGAAAACATGAAAACAACTGGGCAGTAAACCAACCAGGTGGTACAGCAGGGAATTTAAAGGTCAAACAAGCATTGTGAGGAAACAGAAGGGTCCCTAGGGCTTGCTGGCCAGTCAGTCTAGCAGAGCTGGGGAGGTCCTGGTTCAGCGAGAGTTCATCAAAAATGTGAGATGGAGATTAAGGAAGACACTCAGCATTGACCTCTGACCTCTGGCCTCCAACATGAGCACAGACACACAGGCAGTCATGAATACACACGTGTGCACACACACAATTAAACAATGATACACATAAAGTAGGCTAAGGATGGGGAGCAAAATGGACTCCTTAAAAAAATAACCCAAAGGATTTTGTAACCTGAAAATTTCCCCCTCTCTTTTCTGTTTTAAAATGATATCAAATCATTCTAGTGTAGCATCATTTAACACACAATTTGTTTTGCTATCCATAAAATAAAGTATTATTTTAAAGTAATCCAAAGGAATTTAAAAATAAAAAAGGAATAAAGGTATAACAAATAGAAAGCAACCAGCAGTCTCAATCAGCGTCTATGGCGATCTCAAACATGGCATAAGTGCTCCAATAGGGGGGTGCTGATGGTCAACACGCGTGTGTTCTGCCATCTTCAGCAGCTGACATGTAGCAGAATCGGGTATGCTGTTTAAATACTATTCATGAGAAAGGCGTCACAGCTACTCATGAATGTAAAGTAGATCAGAATGTGAAATTTTACCTTGGATCAAGAAGGGCATGCAGTAATGATAAAAGGTCAGTTTACCAAGACATAATCCTAAATCTTTAGGTCCTAAAGACGCTCGAGGGCGTGAAAAGCTGACAGAACTGTAAGGAACAATAGACAAACCTACTCTTCCTTGTTAGAACTGTCCACAGTATTCTCAGAAGTAGACAGAAAGTCATTAAGATGGTGGGCGAAAAACTGGCAGAGATGATTCTGGCACCCAAGGGAATTGAAAACAGTGTTTCTATTGACTGGAGACAAGGATCTTCCTCTCACTGTTACAACATGGGCAGGGGTGTACCAGTGTAGCCAACACTGACCTGGAATTTGGAGGAACACAAACCCGGAAAGCAGCAATAAAAAGCCACAAACACAACAGGATCGCTGCATCCCACATCCCAGACATTAAACTAGTTCTGTATTAGAGGCAGTGACTTGGCGGTTCTGGTGAAGGGCTTCGTCAAGCAAGGTGCCAAGTGTCTACCTGAGGAGCTTGCTCAGGGTGTGGCAGAGGGGGTGAAGGTCGAGGAGAGCCAAGAGGAAGCTGCTGCTGGAGGCAGCCAGAATGCCAGGATAAGGGAAAGATTAGGGTTGTGTAAAGGATTGGGGAGGGGGTGTGTGGACACTAGATTGTACAAATTCTTTAATTGTAGTTAAGGAAACCCCAACAGGGATGCACCTTCTGCAGGCTGGCAGGAAGGCAGGGTCCAAGAAAGGTGAATGGCAACCTTGGTGGGGTTGTCTAGGGCCTGCCCGCGGGAGGCTGCACCCCGAGAGCCCAGTGCCTGAGGACAGCAGGGCGGCGCACAACGCAGGTCTAGAGCGCGCGTGGAGTGTCAAAGCCACAGGTGCTCCGCACCCCAGCAGCTCACGCTCCGGCACCCCCTGGCGGACTCGGACCGCGGCGGCGCGGGGGCAGGTGCGAGGCGGGGCCGGGCGCGCGGGGCGGGACCAGGCGGGTGGAGGGCGGTGACGCCCCGGGGGCCACAGAGGCCGTGCGCCCAGCTGGCCCGCACCGCGCCATGGCCTCGCGCGCCCGGCGGCGCCGCCCGCTGACAGTGCTGCTGCAGGCGCTCGGCTTGCTGCTCGTCCCGCTGCAGGTAAGGACCCGCACCACCGTCGCCCGCCGCCCCCCCCCCCCCAAGGTCCAGTTCTCCTGGCACAGCCGCCCCACAGGCACTAGCCGAGACTGGGAGTTCGGGGGAGGGGGTGAGCAGGTGAGGAGACCCCAGCTGGAGCGTGGAGCGAGGGGACGACAACTGGAGGGATCCTGGGACTTGGAAGAAAGAGGTTTACGGAACCCCGACTCAGACAGGGGATCTGCAGAGCGCGGAGCTCTGATGGTGCTTTGGTTCTCAGGGTGCAGCTAGTAAGTACCTCCTGCCTGTAGCTAACGTGACTCAAGAAGATCGTATCTACAGACCTTGTTAGTGACCCCTTTCTAAACACTACTCCCATGGGGGTCTCCTTTCAATCCGTGTAAATCCCCGGGAGCGGGGAGTGCATGTCTTGGCCTTCACATTTTCCTCTGTCTTAGTTTTCCCTCCATCTCTTCTGGGAGGAAGAAGAGGTGTAGGAGGGATATCCTGAAAGTCCAGGAAGGTAGAATTTGAAAGTTTCTTTGGCAAAGGTGACAAGCTTTCCTTTTCGTGTCTTCCTTTTCTTCCCTCCTCCCCACAAACAGCTCGTGGATCGACAGGAATTGCTTGTGCTTAGAAACCTTTGACCATGTTAGGATGAAATATGTCTTTGCAATGGTTGAAAGTAGGGTAGTGGTGCGCCTTGAGCCATTATTGATGCCAGGAACAAGCCTAGCAACCCTTGCTTCCTCCTGACATGGGTCTGGGGCCCAGTGGCAATGGAAATGAGATCACAGGAGTACCCAGTACTCAGAAGCTAGGGTCTTTCTGGAGCTCTGCAGACACCATCAGCAGTCTAGAGGAGGAGGCAAAAGTTGGTTGTGGAGAACCCCCTCCCTGCAGCCAAATCCCCACGCAGGAAGAGCTCCCAGATCCCTGAGCCCCCTCGGGTCCATCCTGTACCCCGCGCCGCACTAAGGAGCCGCTAGTGTGTGATAGAGTTTGGGCTGCTGGCAACTTAGGGGCTCGATTGGGGTTCCTAAGAGTGATTTCTTTTCCACATCATTCAGCCATTTAAAGCATGAAGCTAAATGGTCATTTCTGTCCTGGTGGATCCAGCTGTTCAGGGCAATGAAGCTTATACATCCAACACTTGGAACGCCTAGTGTGCCTGGGAGTTCCTCTGAAGGAAGGGAAATCTCAGTGAGGTTTCTCGGCTCAGCAGTTTTAGATCTCGTTTCTCCCGTTAAACATCAGTCTTAGGCTTCTGTGAATGTCACTGACCTGGGGGTTTGGGGTGAAGAGAGAGGAGAACGATGGCTTAGCTGGAATCAGAACAGAAACTGTGCTAATGCGTTCAAGGTTGGAGCAGAGCTTAATTCTAGTAAAGGTACATTCTACTTTATTCCCATTCTCTCTGAGAATGGGTCTCTCAGAGTGGCCGAGGGAAAAGAAGCCACTACAACCTAGTGAAATTTACTACTTTAAGCTCTTCAAATGTTGCTTAACGAAGTGTTCAACAGGTCAGACATGGAGCTACCTTGTCTGAACTAAAAAACTGTGTCTCCAGTGAACAGCTAGCTGCCCAGGAAAAAACCTGTCTGACCACACAGCAAAATGGAAAAAAGAAAAAAAGCACACGCATTTGATTCCAGTAACGAAATAGCAAAGCATTTGGAACTAGCCAGCACTTCTCGTATTTTGTATGTGTGTTTGTATGTACGCATGTACTGGATGTGTTCTTGACCATGCTGGGGATGGAATCCAGAGCCCAGGACATGAGAACCAGCATTCCACCACTGAGGTGTGTCTCCAGCTTCATATGCTCTTCTCATCTCCGGATGACAAGTTGCGTGCTACGTGGGTCACTTGCTGTACTGTTTTATTTAGTGAACAATAACACGAAAGTTGCTATATGCTCAGCATAGTCACAGATTTTAAATTGTCTTTATCAGCAGTTTGAATTGTGTGCAGAATTTGTGGGCACAATGGACTGAGGGTATGTGGTATAAGTAGATCTCTCAGATCATCCTGTCTCTAACATCTATTTCCCTTCAGCTTTTCTTTAAGTCATTTTAATTATATACAATTTTTATTTGTAACAAAATCATGTTTTAAATATGAAGTGTGGGCGAGAGATCAGACTTGCAGTGAATGGTTCTCAACCCCTTTGGGGGTCAAATGACCCTTTCACAGTGTTGCCCATCAGACATTCTGCAAATATCCTAAATACCAAATATTTACATTATGATTCATAACAGTAGCAAAATTATAGTTATGAAGTAGCAATGAAAATAATTTTATGGTTTGGAGTCACCATGACATGAAGAACTGTATTAAAGGGTCATAGCATTAAGAAGATTGAAGACCACTGGGTCAAAGCATAAGCAACCTGGGGACCGCTCTGTCCTTCCAACTTGTGGGTCTGAGGACAGAGCTCAGATCAGCAAGCTTAGAGCCAGGTATTGCCTGATGAGCCATTTCACTGCCAAAGAGGACATTTTATTGCTTCCCAGTAAGTCTCCTGGCAATATGTGCTACTAAAATTCAAGTTACCATTTAAATGACACTACAACAATGAAGATTCGCAGTGAACGTTGATTGAATGCCTTTGGATCATACACAGACTTCTGCATCAACCATTTCCACTCAGGTGACCTAAGGTGCTCTTGGGTGCTTTGCTTGTGTCTCTCCTCCCCATTGACAGTCCCTACTGTCTTGTATCTGTCTGCCTGTGTTTGCAACTGAATTTGTTTTCAGAGCTAATGAAAATATGCCTTTAAAAAGTCCTAAGTTCCTGTGTTGATAGCTCGGCTATTTATACAGATGCACAGTTGTCATGGAGATAACTATGCATACGTTCACCAGGTTCCCTAAGGCTTCGGGGCTGATGCCATCAGTGGACATTTGCAGAGTATAAACCATGCTCTTAAGAAACAGGACAAATGCAGAATTGAATCTGCCCAGGTTACAGTTAAATGGCAAAGACAATGGGAGAAGCTGTGATGGTAGGGAGAAGCTGTGATGGTAGGGAGAAGCTGTGATGGTAGGGAGAAGCTGTGATGGTAGGGAGAAGCTGTGATGGTAGGGAGAAGCTGTGATGGTAGGGAGAGTCTGTGATGGTAGGGAGAAGCTGTGATGGTAGGGAGAAGCTGTGATGGTAGGGAGAGGCTGTGATGGTAGGGAGAAGCTGTGATGGTAGGGAGAAGCTGTGATGGTAGGGAGAAGCTGTGATGGTAGGGAGAAGCTGTGATGGTAGGGAGAAGCAGGGAAGGTAGGGAGAAGCTGTGATGGTAATAAAGAAGTATGTGACAGCAAAGACAGTGGGAGAATCTGATGGTAGGGAGAAGCTGTGGTGGTAATAAAGTATGTGATAAGAAAAACACAGTGGAGGAGGAGGGAGCTTTGGGAAGAAGATTTTCTCAAATAGTCTTTGGAGGATGGGGAAATCAAGCTTCAGAGAAGAAAGGATCCAATAGGTGGGTCAGGAAGAGAACTTTCTAGGTCAAGGGGATGGTGCCTGTGGTTTAGACATAAAGGGATCTTGCCAATGAGAAACCCAGTGTTTATGACCTTACAGATTACCTCAAGGCTCTGAATTCAGGAAATGCACCAAACAGATGAGCTATTAAACTTTTATAGTTTTGAGATAACACAGATGTGGCCCTCACGGAGGTGGTAGGGCAGACAGACGAATAAGCGAGTAGGCCCTGGAAAAGCCTTCAGAGGACCCCTCTGAGGAAATCCCCTAGGTGTGACTGTGTTTGTACTCCAGGGCACACCCTCTCATTTCAGTTGGGAAGCCTGGGTGTGGATTAGCTGTTTGTTTGAGAATGTGGACACACAGTTCTAAGCTTTCAGATCTTGGGTTGGTAGGATTTCAGATGCCTCTGCCCTCGCTCCCTTTGGCCTTCTAGACTAACTACCTGTGACAGGATCATTCTCAGCCTGCCTTTTCATTGTCCACCCGACAGTTGTTCCTACATGAGGAAAAAAAAAACGGTACCAATAAAGTTATGTCTCTGGAGTCATTAAATCACTGTTTTATGAGGTCCTGGAAAGGGGAGTTCCAGACTCAGCTCGCTCGTAGAGCTGCTGTTTTGAGGAGGTGCTGAGTGAACTTTATCTGCAGGGGAAGTAGGGGAAATAAGCTCCCCGTCGAATGTTCTTATTTTTGGAGTGCATAGGGGAAAAGTGAGCAATTTTCCCACCTCAGACGTTTGATAGATTCTAGGAATGTCTGTGCTTTTTGTCTCCTGTGTGTCTGTGCCCTACCTGATAGCCCTTGGCTGTCTAACTTTTTCATGTCCTAGGCATCTCCCCAGCCTCCCAAGAGCTGGGAGCTTCTCTCCTGCTTCCTGTAGCTTCCTGTCTTCTCTGGTCGGGCCCCTGCCTGCCTTTGAGCCCACGGTCCCTAGCTCTATCACTGTGTCCCTGCCGGGATAGGCATCTGTCTAGGGCAGTGTTTTCTTCCTGTGCTCACATCCTTGTTTGCTGTAGGAGTCCCTCTGGGTGCAGGAGTACCCTCTGCTAGAGAGCAAGAAAGACAGTTTAAGTTCAACTCACACTGTCTGCCCACAAACACTGAGGCTGGAGGAACCAGGAAGGAGCTGTGGGCTTCTGCCAACAGGCTTGGTCCCTCTGCAGTTGGTCAGGTGCTTTGAAGTTGGAAGTCCTGTGGTGTTTTCTGTCCTGATTCTGAGAGATGAACCAAGTGTGTTTCCTGCCAGTGCTCCCTTCCAGGCCCTATCTCCCCCAACCCTACTCCTCCTCAACTCCACCCCTCCCCACCCTGACTCCCAAAGTTCCCGGTCTGCCTCTGTCACCAGAGGGTTGGCTGACACTGCTGTTCCTACAGCAGCATGTTCCTGTTCTCTCTGACAAACAGCTCAAAGCAGCCACAGTCAGCAGGTGTGAAGGCATTCTTTTCAGCTGCACGATGACAACTTTATTCTGCTTTTGTTTTGTTGGCTGCCATCAGTCTTCAGCTTTGACTGCTGCATGCAGCACAGGCGTTCATC